ATGTGGGGGTTGTGGACAGTATTAAGAAGTCTGGGGTTAGACTTCCGGTGATTATTGGCTCCGGTGTTAGTGATGTGAATGTGAAGAGTTGTGTGGATGTGAAGACCGATGCAGTGATAATCGGTTCCCATTTTAAGGAGAATGGCGTCTGGAGTGGAGAGCTGTCGGAGCCCAGAGTTAAGGGGTTTATGCAAAATGTGCGTAAATTGTATAGTAATTAGAGTCATTAAAAATTGTTGTTTGTACAGGGTATTGTCATTAATTAGTTTTGTTAATATTTTTCAGAAAAGCAATTGTATTTCAAATGACTTTATAATTTTAAACATTATAATACTGTAGTGAGAATATTAAAATTATTTTGTTAAGATTTATAAATAGACTAATTATTAAAATTTTTATGATTAATTTTTTGTGTAAATATTTTTATTAATCTATCAATAATTTTATTTATATTACTTAATAATAACAATTTATTAAATGCTGTATTATCATATAATTTGTTCTCATATTTTTCATAATAATTGTTTCAATTATAAAAATAAATCACTTATTTATTCAGCGATTCGTATACAGTATGTCTGGTATAAGGAAACACGGAAAACAAATTAAATTAAAAATTTTATTTTACTTTTGTAGAAATAGCTAATCATATCATCTGGACAACTGTTTACATATGAATACAGATTAGTAAACTTCACTTAATATATTTAGCAAACTTTGATTTATTATTAAATACATCCAAAAACTTATTTACATTAGCATTCAATGTCTCTAAAACTGAGAATCTAATCAAAATCACATAAATTAACAAAAATATACACAAAAAGTAATTGACATCTGAAATACGTTATAAAAATAATTGCAACCAATAGTAGTGAGCAAACCATTTGGTGATCATATTAGTAACAGTGGTGTCAATAATTTGGTCACTTATTTGCTATTTGCGCTGTAAGGGATATAGATATTTAACCAGGGTATGTATTATTCAACATATTGTACATGTATTTACAAAGTTTTATATAAAAATTCATTAGTATTTTAAATCATTAATAAGTAGTTTTGCTTTCAAACAACAGAATTGAAAGAAACTTCAAAATGAAGGGAATTTTGTTTGCAATTCTGGTGTCAGCCCTAATTGGCACCAGTAGTCTAACCGAAACGGTTGTCCGCATTCACACACCCCTTAGTGTGGACTCACAGACCCTCAAAATGGTTGAATTTATTAACAATTTAAACACCACTTGGAAAGTATGGAAATATCTTAATATTTGTAAATAATCTATTACAAATTTAAAAAATATGACTTCCCACTTAAGGCTCAAAACAACTTCGAGGGCTATTCACTGGAGTACATAAAAGGTCTGATGGGTGTCCACAAAGACAACCGCAGATATCGACTACCAATCCATACGCACGACACGGAGAACCTGATTATTCCCGACGAGTTTGACTCCCGAACCCAATGGCCTAACTGTCCGTCCATTAGTG